TGTGAGAGGGTCATGATCGATTGAGCAAGCAGGGGGTATGTGACTGGGGGTTGCATACACTGGTAATAAGAAGGGAACAGAATGGACAGGGATCTTCACAGTGCTTTTTTAATGCAAATAACCTATTAGGTCAGAGGTTGATCTTTAACTACCAGGCCCAGGGTGTGGCGCCGGGCCGTCTGCTTGTGGATTTCATTTCTGCCTTTTAGTTTTTACTTTTTCTTTCTTTGGAGGCAGAAATTGGGCATCAGACAATATGAGGGGTGGTTTCTGTCTTACTGTGGCTGAAACTGGTATCCCATATGCAAGACATAGTCCTCTTTATTCTTCCCTCTCCTCTCTTCAAGTGGAAAAAAGGGGCCTCTTTCGGAGCTGCGGACTGTGCTGCCTGGCGTTGGGAGAGGGGTAGTGCAAGCACTCTTTTAGCCGTCCTGGCTGGTGTCTCAGTAGGTCACGTACCACACAAGTCCACTGGCTCTGAGCCCAGCTCAGCACCAGGACTTGCCAGGAGTTGCAGTCCTTGTGGCTTAGAGTGCCTTTCAAGTTCGTTTAGAGCCCCAGAGCACTTAAGCTCGCAGTGGTAAGGCTTGCCAGAACTCAAGTTCCCATTACTGGGATAGGCGTTTGGGCGATTCCTTTCTGGCTAGGGCTGGTCTAAATGTTCCCTTTGTAAGTGGGCATTGGCCTCAGCCCGATTTACTTTCCCCTGTGACAGGACAACACTGAATTCGGTGCAAAGTCTCACAATTGCTGTGCTTTTCTTCTCCCAAGCACATAGATTCTCTCTCTGCGGCCCATGGCCGAGGCCAGGAGGTGGGGGAGGGGTGGCGTCAGCAATTCAAGACTGTCTTTCCTTCCCTCTTTGGTGCATCTTTCAGTGATCTGAAGTTAAAACCGGGTACTGATTTCTGGTTCTTATGAAGGTGCCTTTTTTGTGATAGTTGTTAAATTTGGTGTTCCTGCAGGGCTGATGATCAATAAAGCCATCTATTCTCTCCCAACCCAGATTTTTTTTTTTTTTTCCTGAGATGGAGTCTCGCTCTGTCGCCCAGGCTGGAGTGCAGTGGCGGGATCTTTGGTCACTGCAGGCTCCGCCTCCCGGGTTCACGCCATTCTCCCGCCTCAGCCTCCCAAGTAGCTGGGACTACAGGCGCCCGCCACAACGCCTGGCTAATTGTTTGTATTTTTAGTAGAGATGGGGTTTCACCGTGTTAGCCAGGATGGTCCCAATCTCCTGACCTCATGATCCGCCCGCCTCAGCCTCCCGAAGTGCTGGGATTACCAGCGTGAGCCACCGCGCCTGGCCACAACCCAGACTTTTAAGAATAAAATTCTGTAACTTTTTGAAAAGATTGCTACTACATATTTTATTTTATATATACAAAAAGGAACTCAGAAGTAGATGTATTACTGTTATAAAGCATCTTATCAATTTAATTATGAGATACTTATTTAGTATCTGCTATGAACCAAAGTACTGTATAACATACTGTGAACAAAATAGACAAGATCCAAGACCTCCTGGAACTTACATTTTAGTGGAGAAAGTAGACCATAAACAAACATTATGGTTTGAGGTGCTTATTATTCACATGGATGTATTAAGTAGACCATATGATATATTGCCTGCATCCCAGAGACAAACTGTAGATTAGTAATATAAGTTAAGGAAAGATCAGAATACATACTGTATTTATAGCATTGGCTGTGTATAAGAGCACTTTGCAAGAGATTGTGGAAGCAAGTAGAGTGCATGAGCTCTGAAGAACTCCATCAATTAAACAGTTGCAGGAGGAAGGATCTATAGACAGATTGAGAAGTAATTGTTGAGAGAAAATCTAGAATCCAGAGTGTTTGTGACTTTAGTATTTGTGTTTCAGTGGTTTCAGAAGGAAAGACATTAGATGGAAATGAATTAAACAGTGAATGCAAGGAGAGAAAGGACAGATGGGCTCGTTACAGATAGTGGCTCATGTCTGTAATCCTAGCACTTTGGGAGACCAAGGCAGGAGGATTGCTCGAGCCCAGGAGTTCAAAACTAGCCTGAGTAACATAGTAAGACCCCATCTCTGCAAAAAATTTAAAAATTAGCCAGATGTGGTGGCATACACCAGTAGTCCCAGCTACTCAGGAGGCAGAGACTGCAGTGAGCCGTGATCGCACCATTGCACTCTAGCCTGGGTGACAGAGCGAGATCCTGTCTCTCTAGAAAAAAAAAGAAGAAGAAGAAATAACAACTCTTGAGAAAAACAAGCACTACATAAACTGCTGCCTTACCTTCATGACTCTATATAAACGAATAGCTGAGATTTTTCTCTTTTCATCTTCATCTTCCAGGCCTTCTTCTGCAGCCTCATAAGATCGTCATTGCTACCATGAGCATTGCTACCGCCTTTTCGGGAGGTTTGCTTGTAAAGGGAGCACAGAAATGAGATTGCACTGGAGGGTATGAGGGGTTGGGAGAGTGGGGCTGACCTTTACACTGGAATGGAAAACCTACTCCTCCACTGTGAAAGGAAGGAAGGGCAAATAAGTATAGATTCCTGTAAGTTTGTACATTTGAAAGTGGGAAAATGATTGTTTTATTTGGAGCTGAGCCCTAGAGAGGTAGAAAAGAGTGTTGGATTAAAGAGAAAGATGATATAAAATGAATTCTTGAAGAATGGATCCACTCCTGTAGGCAAAGTAACTGAGTAGAGAAAAGAGCAAGCTTGCTGAGTGATTCTTGGGTCTTTGCTATGGTTGGAAGCCATTGCTGGTTTAAATATTTGCAATGGTTTTGTGATTTTTCTCCCCCCAGCTCTAGAGGGAGGGATACGGTTATATAAGAGGGTTTTCCCCCCTCCCTAGGAAGAAGGGTAGGGTTGGCTGGGCACAGTAGCTCACGCATGTAATCCCAGCACTCTGGGAGGGAGGCCGAGGCTGGGTGGATCACGAGGTCAGGAGATCGAGACCATCCTGGCCAATGTGGTGAAACCCCGTCTCTACTAAAATATAAAAAAGTGCCCCGGTGTGGTGGTGCACACCTGTACTGCCAGCTACTCAAGAGGCTGAGGCAGAGGAATCGCTTGAACCCAGGAGGTGGAGATTGCAGTGAGCTGAGATCGCACCACTGCACTCCAGCCTGGTGACAGAGCAAGACTCTGTCTCAAAAAAAACAAAAAGCAACAAAAACATACAAAAAAAAGCAAAACAAAAAAAGAAGGATAGGGTTATATAGATGGTTAGAGTCATCCAATCATGTAAAACTCAGTTAATTGTGATTTCTCACTGGGAATAATTGCAACAAGACCTTCTCAGCCTTAAAAAATTGTATACAGAATGTAATCTAACTTTTTTATTTCTGAGACTTTCATTAGTGGGATGCTCTGATTGTTAAAGTGACTGCTCTAGGTTCAGTTTAACAAGTTTTTTCCTAATGCACACCACAGTGTTAGGCTCTGCCATCTTTGAAAGTTAAAATCCTTGCCCTAAGCAGCACCTGCCTGTGGTGAGAATGGTACATGCTATGAGAGCAATGTGCACACTGTGCCAGGGAAGCTCTGAAATGGTACCTTCTCCTGAACAGGCTGGTGGACAAATTTGGGGTTGTCCTGGGACTCTGCCAGGAGAGATGACTAAAGTAGTCAATTGCCTTGGAACTTAGAAGATCCATTGTTTAAATTCATTTTTGTAGTAGAAAACAGTGCATGGTGGCTCATTCCTGTAATCCTAGCACTTTGAGAGGCCGAGGCAGGCCGATTGCTTAAGTCCAGGAGTTCGAGACCAGCTTGGACAACATGGTGAAACCCTGTCTCTAAAAAAATTACAAAAAAAATTAGCCAGGCCTCGTGGTGTGTACCTGTTTTCCCAGCTACTAGGGAGTCTGATGTGGGAGGATCACCTCAGCCCAAGGAGGTTGAAGCTGCAGTGAGCCGTAATTGTACCACTGCACTCCAGCCCAGGTGACAGTGAGACCTTGTCTCAAAAGAAGAAAAAAAAAGAAAGAAAAGAAAAGAATGGCTACAGTGCCAGGTCAGGCCATAAAAACCAGTGAAAATATTACATATTTTCAGTAAGAAATGTTTTTAAACAGTATTGTTTAAACACTTAGAAGTTAAGAATTTTTAAGCATGATACTCATTTTGTATGCTAGGATTGAGAAGATATTATTTCATTGGTAAAGTAGATTTCAGATTTTGTAGAGAATTTTTGAATTTTTGTAGATAATTTTGAATGAGTGAGTGCTTTTAAGGGCTACAGTCAATGATTCTTTTATGTTTAACTTGTTAGAAACTTCTGACTTTATTTTTTATTCGTGATGTACTTTTTTTAAAATGTGGTATTACCAGCTATAAATGAAATAATGAAAATGAATGATTTTGTGTATTTATTTTGGGAGTAACTGATAAACATTGGAAAAGAGTGGGCTGAAGGAAGGAGAGGGCAGTGAGAACATTATTGAGTCCCTATAATAAGTCAGATACTGTACCAGGTACTTCCATGCATAGTCTTAACAGAATCTTAGTAAATGTAGGTATCATTGACATCCCCATTTAACAGATGAGAAAAGTCATCACTCAAATGATTTGCCCTGAGGCAGCTGGCTAGTGTTGTAAAAGTCAGGATTTAATTTTAATTCTTTGGCTTCATTGCCTGTTGTTGTTGTTGTTGTTTTTGAGATAAAGTTTTGCTCAGCCACCCAGGCTGAAGTGCAGTGGTGCAGTGTCGGCTCACTGCAACCTCCGCTTCCCCGAGTTCAAGCGATTCTCCTGCCTCAGCCTTCCAAGAAACTGGGATTACCAGCACACGCCACCACACCCAGCTAATTTTTGTATTTTTAGTAGGGATGGGCCACGTTGGCCAGGCTGATCTCAAACTCCTGACCTCAAGTGATCCGTCCGCCTCAGCCTCCCAAAGTGCTGGGATTACGGGCATGAGCCACCGTGCTGGCTGCCAGTGTTCTTTGGAGAGAGAGCAAGAGAGAGAGAGAGAGAGAGAGAGAGAGAGAACAATAAAATTAAAAGGTTTTATATGTGATTTTTTTGTTTAATAGCAGAAAGGCGGTATTGAGAAATAAAGTGGGATTTCCTGCATTGGCCAAAGTCTGGAGCAGTTGTCAAGGTGGTATGCAACAGTGGTGTATCTACTGTTGATACATGAGATTCATTTGCCCGCTAGTAATATTGATGGAGGTGGGTGTTAGGGAGGAATATCTGTGAGCTACCTTGAAAATTCAGGGTTTGCGAAAGGTCTCTCATTTGTTTGCATCGTCTGAGAGAGATGTGTCTTCAGTGATTGAATGGAACTAGAGAAGTGTGTGTATATGGATATAACAGATTGTTGTTGTTGTTTAGGCTTAAGTTAATTGCTATCCATAACTGAGTTTTCAGTCTTTCAGATACTTGGGATGTCTGTGAATATCTAAATAGATAAACATTGGGATAAGAGTTTTGAGAGGATATATTTTTTGATAACTATATCTGTTCTCAGAAATACCTTTTGGACATGTGGAAAATCAACTCAGTTAATATTTTATAAATGAATGGCAAATACAGATTTTTAACACAAAGTGTAAATCTAAGAGAATATAAAAAGGGTTTATGTATGTGTTGTATGTTGGTTTGAGGGAAAAAAATCATACTAACCATTTTATGCCTCACAATTAGTCCTAGAAAGCTCTTCAGTCATCTCCACTAACCACTTTTTTAAATGTTTCTAGGTCATTGAATCTTTGGGAATTATTATTTATAAAGCACTGGACTATGGTTTGAAGGAAAATGAAGAAAGGGAATTAAGCCCTCCCTTAGAGCAGCTCATCGATCGCATGGCCAACACGGTAGAAGCTGACGGCAGCAACGATGAGGGCTATGAGGCTGCAGAAGAAGGCCCGGAAGATGAAGAAGATGAAAAGAGGAAAATCTCAGCTATTCGGTCGTATAGAGATGTCATGAAGGTAAGGCAGCGTTTTATGCAGTACTTGTTTTTTTTCAAGAGTTACTATTTCTTCTTTTTTTTTCCCCCTGGAGAGATGGTCTCACTCTGTCGCCCAGGCTAGAGTGCAGTGGTGGGATCATGGCTCACTGCAGCCTCTGCCTCGTGAGTAGCTGGGACTACAGGTGTATGCCACCACACTTGGCTCGTTTTTAAATTTTTTGCAGAGATGGGGTCTTGCTGTGTTGCTCAGCTTGGTTTTGAACCCCTGGGCTCAAGTGAGCCTCCTGCTTTGGCCTCCCAGAGTGTTGGGATTACAGAAATGAGCCACTGTGTCCAGACTGTTATTTTTTAAAAATTGAATGGTTGACACATATCTGTATTTATTTAAAAATAGTAAAGAAAGAATGGTGATTCAGCATTTAATAATAGTTCCCAGACTTGTCAGCAGCCTGAACATGGACATTTGTGATTGAATCATAACTCAAGAAACCGCTTTTAGATATTATATGCCCCTTATCATTACATATCATGTGTCAGCTTGACTGGGCATTATGTCTTCAGTTGACCTCTGTATGGCCTTTTTCTAGAGTAAATAACAACTGTGATCCACTTACCTACATGAAGATTTGGCATCTCAAGTATAACAACTGATTGTTTTAGGTTTTCTTGACTTACCTAGTGGTATTTATATGTAATGAAGCAAGTTTGGTTGGTTATACTTAATTTTTCTCTTTTGAATTTTGCTGTGTACTTGAAGGTCATAAAATCTACCATGCCAAATGTGCAGAGATTAACATCAAACATATTTGTCAAATTAACCATAAAAGCATTCTGTTTTCAGTTACTTATATATGATATTTACTAGGTTTTATACTTATATATGATATATATACTTACATATGATATTTACTAGGTTTTATAAGCAGTGTCAATGGTGTATCTCTTATTTTCCAGCTTCTCATAAAGCGTTTCAGAGATAGGAATATAGAGGCACTGTGACAATGGTAGTTTTCAAGTGTGCTGAGTGCCCCGTTCCTTAGGCCTCCTTCGATGGTACAACTCAAAGACTGTGTAAAGAACCATACAAGTTATTATTCTTAAGAAATTCGGATATCTTATTTAGTTCTTTTAAGATGTGTAGTGCTTCTCATTTTAAATCAACAGGCTATACACATAAAATACATACATATAATACACAAACAAATAGAAATTTGATGTGTTTTATTTATTTTATGTTTTCTAGATGTTAAGGTTTATTTTTTAAAAATATGTAAACATACTTAAAGGCCAGTTAAACTTTCTGCAGACCACAAATGACCTGCTTGTTCTGTGGAAGACCATTGATAAATAGTGATTGAAAACATGAAGAGTAAAAGGTTTTACATTAAGAAGCAAAACCACTCATACATCTGAAAGTGAGCTAACAGTATTTTGGTGGTGTGTATGTTGGCGGAAGTATGCATAAGAAGTGGTGAAAGAGGAAAGGAACACCTACCTAACCAACTAGATCTGTAAAATCAGCCCTGGCACCAGTAATGTAACATGTCATAGCCAGATTGCTGTCTTAAACTACAGGTTTGGAAGATGAGGTCCAGAGAGTAATTGCAATTTTAAAGTTTTTATTCAATAACATTAAATATCTTAACTTATAAAAAATTATTGAATATTTAGAAGTTTGAAGGGATACCTTTTATTTTTTAATTTGAGTTACTGTGGTTCCCTAACTTACTGCTATCGTTATATGAAAAATGAATAGTTAAAAGGGTACTTATGAAGACAGGTTATTGGCTTGGCATGGTAGTTCACACCTGTAATCCCACCACTTTGGGAGACCCAGGTGGGAGGATTACTTGAGCTCAGGAGTTTGAGACCAGCCTGGGCAACATAATGAGACCTCGTCTCTATTTAAAAGGAAAAAAAAGGCTGGGCACGATGGCTGATGCCTGTAATCTCAGCATTTTGGGAGGCCGAGGCAGGTGGATCACTTGAGGCCAGGAGTTCAAGACCAGCTGGCCAACATGGGGAAACCCTGTCTCTACTAAAAAAAAAGTACAAAATTAATCAGGTGTGGTGGCGTGTACCTGTAGTCCCAGCTAGTCAGTAGGCGGAGGCACGAGCATCTGTTGAACCTGGGAGGTGGAGGTTGCATTAAGCCGAGAGCGCACCACTGCACTCCAGCCTGGGTGACAGAGCGAGGCTCTGTCTCAAAAAAAAAAAAAGAAAGAAAAATTTTTAAAGGTTTTATAGATTGAAGGAAAACTGAAGATTACCGATTCTATTAGAAATTTTATTGGAGAATATCACAACCTTACCTGTTGTTTCTTGGTTTCCATGCTAATCAAAACTGACTCGTAAAATTCTCCACATCTGTAACTGTTCTGAGTGTTCCATGTAGCTGAATGAGAAGAAAAATAATTGCTGAAACATTTTACAAGTAAATGGACATTTTAAAATACTATAAAACCCATGATTCCTCATCATATAGTGCAGATATGAGTTTGTGGTTTGGTTAGCAGGTTGAAAACCTCAATTCATAAATGGACTCATTGTTTACTTTGTTGGAAGAGAAGACAAGAATTATCTGAAGAATTGTAACTCTCCTTGTTTGAAGTAGAAATGTGAAACTAAGTTTGATTGATACAAATAATGGGATGTTTAAGAACTCGAAACAATTTGTTTTCAATTCTTAGCAAGCAAGATCCTCTTTAATGTGTAACTTTTGTCCTGGATAGTCTTTTATTCCAACTAATCTATTAATTTGTTGTGTTTTAATATGGTACATTGTAGTTGAAAAATGCCTTTATATCCCCCTTCTATTACTGGAGCCTGATGATAACACTGTGAGGTAGATTGGGCAGGCATTCCAGTGCCCGTTTCAAAAAGTAAGTCAGGGGAAGAGTAATGTTAGAGTGGAATGCCAGCTTCAGAGTGCTAACATTAAATCTAGAATTATTTATCCAGTATAATGTCTCAACAATAAAGGTAAAATATCAGCCAGGGTGGATCACTTGAGCCCAGGAGGTTGAGGCTGCAGTGGGCAGTAATGGTGCTGTTGCACTCAAGCCTGGGTGTTACAGTGAGATCTTTTTTTGTTTTGTTTTGTTCTGTTTTGTTTATTTTTAAAAAAGGCAAAATATCTTCTCTAACAAACACAGAAAATGTGTCACCAGCAGACCTTGACTAAAACGTCAGGCAGAAGGCAGTCCACGTCCAGTGGAAATTAGTATACATCAGGCAGAAGGCAGAGTCCACGTCCGATGGAAATTAGTATACGTCAGGCAGAAAGGCCGGTCCCGTCCGGTGGAAATTAGTATACGTCAGGCAGAAGGCAGAGTCCACGTCCGGTGGAAATTAGTATACGTCAGGCAGAAGGCAGAGTCCACGTCTGGTGGAAATTAGTATACGTCAGGCAGAAGGCAGTCCACCTCCGGTAGAAATTAGGAGATGCAAAAGATTTGAAGAGCAAAGAAAATTAAACATGGGCCGGACACGGTGGCTCACACCTGAAATCCCAGCATTTTGGGAGGCCGAGGCAGGTGGATCACTTGACGTCAGGAGTTCACGACCATCCTGGCCAACATAGTGAAACCCCATCTGTACTAAAAATACAAAAAATCAGCTGGGCGTGGTGGCGCATGCCTGTAATCCCAGCTACTTGGGAGACTGAGGCAGAAAAATGGCTTGGACCTGGGAGGCAGAGGTTGCAATGAGCCAAGATTGTGCCCCTGCGCTCCAGCCTGGGCGATAGAGCAAGACTCCATCTCAAAAAAAAAAAAGAAACATGAAAACAAATCTAAATGAATATTAACAGCAAAAAATAATAATAATGTCTTACATGATGTAGAATATATTTAGAATTAAAATATATAACAGTAGCATAAAATTGTGTGGGAGTAAGTGGAGTTAGTGTTCTAAGACCTCGGCATTGACTGGGAAGAGGTTAAAGCACTAATTTATTAGTGCTAACCTTTATTAGGAAAGCCACTAAAGCCTAACCTTTATTAGAAAAGCCACTAAAAATAAATAAAAGAATTTGTAAATATCAGGCCAATAGGGAAGGGGGCAGGTGAAGCTAATAAAATTACTGGTAGTCCAACAGGGAAAACAGATAGAAGATGGTAATTGGACACCGAAATATATTGGTGATTACATTAAATGTGAATATTCTAAATGTATACTGCTCAATACAGTAATTACTAGCCACATGTGACTGTTAGTCACTTGAAATGTGTTTCGTCTGAATTGACACGGACTGAGAGTACAAAATCTATGCTGGATTCCAAATGCTTCGTACCGAAAAAAGGATGTAAAATGCCTCGTTGACCGGGTGCGGTGGCTCGTACCTGTAATCCCAGCACTTTGGGAGGCTGAGGTGGGCGGATCATTTGAGGTCAGGAGTTAGAGACCTGACCGCCATGGTGAAACCCCGTCTATACTAAAAAGACAAAAAACTTAGCCAGGCATGGTGGTGCATGCCTGTAATCGCAGCTACTCGGGAGGCTGGGGCAGGAGAATCACTTGAACCCGGGAGGCAGAGGTTACAGTGAGCCAAGATCACGCCAGTGCACTCCAGCCTGGGCAACAGAGTAAGACTCTATCTTGGAAAAAAAAAAAAAAGAAAGCCTCATTAATAATTTTTGTATTGGCTATAATTTGAAGTATTATAATAATATATATTATTGTATTGGGTTAACTAAAATCTATAATCAAAGTTAATTTCACTTGCTTCTTTTTACTTTTTTTGATGTGGCTACTAGAAAATTTAAAACTACATACACGGCTCACACTGTATTTCTGAGGATTGTACTAGCCTAATACTCTAATTTTTAAAAGACACAGATTTTTATACTACATTAAAAATACAAAATCCAGTCATATGTTGTTTACAGAGTAGACACTATAAATAGGACATAGAAAGCTTGAGTAAAAGAATGGACAAATACAACATTCTAACCAAAAGAAAAGTATCACAGATATTATTTTAATATAAAATGGACCTAAAGGCAAAAAGCATTACTA